TTAAGATGTTTGATATAATTAATGAATAGTTAATCAATACTTTTATATAAATAAGTTATATAATATTATTGAGACAGATCTCACAAACTAAATTTGAAAATCTATAACTCTCAACAAGCAACGAAATACTAGAACACTAAATAGAAAATAAATCTAGAATAGCTGCCAGTAGTCATAAAAATACTCCATCCGTTTAAAAATATAAGGTATTTTTTAAAGAGTTGAATATTAAAAAATGTAAGGCATTTTTAGTCTTTCGAGATATAATTATTATTTTTTTTCAAAAGTGCCTCTATTGATAGTGATTTTATATTTATTGTAAGGTATTTAATAAGGATAAATATAAAAAAATAAAATTAGTTTGAAAGTAGATAACTATTTTATTGAGGATGAAATTTAGTTAAAAATGTATTATATTTTTTAACGGAAGAAGTAAGTAACAAGCAAAACTTGTTCAAATTATTCTCAAAAAGTAATTCATCGTATAAATAATGAATATTTAAAAGAATTTTAAGCTAGCTAAGACCTTAAGGAGTATTCAAAACGTCAGTTTGGCCCTCATAAAATTTCCAATTCACATTCCATGCACATTGCAAAAGTAGGAAAGTACTTCTCATGAGTTAAAAGTGATACACACCCTCAATCCCAAAAAGCCTATAATCAGCTATTATAAGACTGCATAGAAGATTAGATGGGATTAGACTTTGGCCTAATTTGAAGTCTGATCTCTTTCACGAAAATAACTGAGTTAGACAACTCATAGTTCAGTTTGGTTCAGTAATGATCCGAAAATTAATAAAATTGAACTTGGTTTATAAGACTAAGAGATTTGTCCTATTAGTTCAATACTCAGCTTTTATTTTTTTTTCAGTCTTAAAAGATCAGCTTTTAACAGTACCATAGAAGACCAAACCTTCTCAAGTCAAATTAGGTCGAACAGGACAGGAAGGCTTTTGCACAGCCCTAGGTTGTTGGATCCTAAGAGACTAATTTAAAAAACACATATTACATTTGGAAGAAAATACTAAAAAAATGAAAAAAAAGCCAATTATAATGTAAATATGCCAACTAATTAATGAAGTTACATGTCAGGCACACGACATGCTTACTTACATATAATGGGTAATAAAACTGAAATGTAATTAAAACTAGCCTAGATCCCATGTGTTGCACGTGTTTAAGACTAGAAGAATTACTTATATAATATAGACTGAATCTACCTTTAATTACCATCTTAATGCATTATATTGTTGTTGGTCAATAAGTAGAAATAAAATAAATGATGAGAAGATAAATTTCAAGCACTGTATGTATCTAAATTGGTTAAATAAATTGTTGACTCCCTTCCAACAATTTTTTCATAATCCTCAAATATCTTTCAATAAATAGGGAAGTCAATTTTTTTTTTAAGATGATATTCTTAAGATGTTATTTTGAAAGTGATATTTTTAAGATGTCAATATATTTGTCACACAAAAAAATTTGGAAATGTTCAATTCGATTAGGTATCTGCTCAATAGTCTGGTAAATTAAATGTTGTAATAGATTTTTCATGAGCTTCCAAGATCTCAACCTTGGTCATTCCACCATAGATATTCTCACTGGCACAACATGTCTTTTATAGTTTCATCTTGCAGCATCATCATGAAAAAGCACAACAGCAATATTTTCACTCCAAAGTTCTAACATCCATATGAATAATATATGTGACCAATTCATCTCCAAATAGGGGGAAAAAAAAACATAGACATGCTATCAATAGAATTGTGAAAATTAGTTGATAATAGAGATATGATAGTATTTAGAAGCAGAATCATAAATGAATGGGAACAAAAATATCATAAAATTTTAGAATAATTAAATAATAAACTGTTTTTATAAAACAAAATTAAAAATATCATAAAATTTAAGAATGATTTACTAATAATCAATTTATATTATTATAACAAAATATAAAATAATGTCTGCTCTTTATAAAATCTCTATAAAATAAATTTCTTTTTATATATCTTTAAACTATCTAAAAATTACTTATTTTTTAATCTTAAACAAACAAGTCTAATATTTGATTAATTAGTGAAGACGAAGAACTAATTGGTGTTAATAATATTAATATATTATATAAAATTAGAATAAAAAATATTATCATTTTATGGAATGTATTATGAGTGATCACAGAAGCAGAAGACATCTACTTGTATAAACTTAAAAACAATTGGAGCACAAATGCTCGTATCATTATATATATATATATATATTAAAAAAAAAACAAGTGACTTATAGACAATGATAGAATATGATAGGAAAATATCATCTAAGAATCCCTGGAGAGTTTTTTTTATATCAAGAAGAATCTTAAAAATTTGAAATTTCACTACATTCCCTAAGTAATTATATGAAAATAAGATTTATTATGGAAAAAAGGCCTAATTACCCTTAAAGTTTAATAATTTAATGAACTGTTGTTAATTACATACGATTAATTGTCAAAACCCAAATAAATACTTATTTATATAAGACCAACAATTGTACAATTAAACATGTGCTATTAATTAGTCACATGTTAATTCTGAATGAGTTATTATTAATTATGAATTATCACGTATTAAAGTTTAAACGAATGCTTGTTTATGATACATCCATAAAATTTTAGGTATAATTATGTCTTTTTTCACAAATTTTATTCCCATAGGTACTTGAGATGTAGTGAAATTTTATACTTTTAAGGTTCTTTTTTAATATAAAAACTCTCAAAGAGTTCTTAAATGATATTTTCCTTTTGATATATGTCAGTCATTTAGTTGTTTGTATTGGTATTTTTGAAATATTTATTTTATCATTGCACGATTTCCTTTTAAAAGAAACTAATTGGACACACGTATGCGAGCGAAGGCTTTATTTGTATATATCGGCTTTTTGAAATACTTTTCTATTATCCCTTGTAATATGATAAACCAATAATCGAGAGTTGAATTCATGGATGGAGTGTTCGCACACATTTAATGCTTATTGTGTTTAAAATATAATTACTTTTAATAAGAGAATTATTTACACAATAAACACTAATGTAAAAAATAATTTTTACAATAATAAAAAAAAATGTAGTAGAGATTAATATAATTATAAATGAAGCAATTATGGCGACAATTTACTCTTAGAACTGTCGTCATAATTGATTAATTACGGCAACGATTCCCTTTTGGAACTATTGTTGTAATTGGATATTTAAAAAATAATAATTTTTTTATATAATATTAACACCTAATTCAAGAACTAAAATTTTTATTTCAATAAAAGTCCAACTTAAAATTGCTTACATATAAATGGTAAACAATACATTAAAATTTAATTGAAAATGACTTGCATAAATAATTTTTTAAAAAAAAATACTCTCCGCAAGTTTTGAGTTTTGCACGACAAATATATATATATATATATATATATAAAAGAAAATAAATCATTCTATTCAAATTATGAACCTCCCTAAAATAAAAAATTATTCAAAACCTTCCTATCAACACATTCGCGTCTCCAAAAGAAGCTTTAACCTGAAAAATAATAATAATAATAATAATAATCTCGCTTATACTAATTAAAGCCCAGAAATCAGTAAGAACATGCAATAGTAAATGGTATGATGCTTGTTCTGGCCAAAAAAAAAATTGGTATGATGCTTGGATTGACGCGCACATTATGGAAAGGCATAGTTAAGAATCAACATCAGAATGTGGGTGTGAACGCGCAGATAGACACACATTCTAGTATGTTACATGTATCATAGTATCAAGGATTTGAATTCATAGAGTTCATATTGATTTCATATTTTCCTTACATCCACCAAAATCCACATTACAAGGTGATAAGGGCTCCTAAAGCATTAGCTCTTTCATTGTTGAAGTATCTTTGACATCCCAAATGCCTGAGGTTAAAATCCATTTCATTTAAATTATAAGGTAAATATAACTTTTGGTTCCTATACTTTACTCCCATCTTACTTTTGATCCCTATACTTTTATTTCGGTGTTTTAGATCCCTACACTGTTGTTTTCCATTATTTTCAGCCCCTTTATGAGTAAAGTATAGGAATCTTGGAAGGATCCAAAACAATGAAAAAACAAAAGTGTAGAAACTTAAAACACTAAAAAAAAAAAATATAGAAATCAAAAGCAAAATACGAGTAAATTACAGAAACTAAAAGTTATGTTTACCCTAAATTATACCTTCACCTTTATCTTTAGTACTTTTAAAAGTTTAAGACAGAATTAACAACTAAAATATTGAATGGTGTGTTAAGAAGGTTGAAAAGAATGGTGACGTGTTATTAAAATCACAAACAAAGATATATACACAAAGGAGCAGAATATTACGTGTATAGCAAAGAGGACTTAAAGTTGGCTAGAAATTAAAGGAAGCAAGTAGAGAGGGGACGCACGTGTAATTACTTGAAAAGTCTCATAATTCATCTTGAAATAGGAATAGGCACAGCAAGATCAGGTCAAATGCAACTCTGCATAACATAATGAATTCTTGTTATTAACAGAACTTGAAAAGATACAAGAAAGCTTATTTGATATCTGCGAAGGGTTGCTGGTCTAGTTCAACAGAGAAGTTTTTAATATCTCAATTGAACAGTTTGTCATAATACAGCACTAAACCTGATTGGACTCCAACTTAACCCATGTTGCACAGACCCAATTAAAGCACGTCTCTGTGTATCTTTACATAATAATGGGCCAAATACTCAAGACTAAAGGCCTTAAAATACTTGACCCAAAAAAGGCCTTAAAATAATTATAATTAAAATTGATTTTGAAAATGCAGGAAAGTGTGAGGACAAGTCAAGGCCATCAACTACATTCATTAACCATGCGCACAAACTACACATACAAAATAAATAAGATATGCATCAGGTGTGCATTCCAAATAAACAGTAAACTTACACATGCGACAACTTTAATTAATTTTTAAAGAAGAAACTACCATAATAATTCAGCTAATCATAAAAAAATAACTAATAACAAAAATCAATTGAATGTTCACAAGGACTGAAAGCGCAAAATATTAGGACTTCAAACTTAGTGATCAAGCATTACAAGGTCGAAATCGGTACAGAAGAAAGTATATGCCACGTGACATAAGGGAAATGGAAGAAGAATATTTTATTTGAATTGTATGTGCAAATTATCACGACATAAGATGGGGAAAACATGATCAGGAAAGTTAAAGCTAGATGGCCTAACTCTTCTCCAATTCAGTGTCCTCGTTTTCAAGACTCTCTTCCTCATCATCACTGCATCATCCACGTCAAGAAAATACATCTGAAAAAAATTGCATGCAGTTGCCAGAATCCGGGTAAAGATTAGGACAATTTAAAGAACAAATATGAGCACCACAGAGAGTTCAGGAAAATGATGAAGAGCAGGCCGGCCATTTTGATGATGATGATGATATGGTTCATCAATAATAGAAAACTATCAACCTTGACAAGCTCTACCAGAAATGGAAGTTGATATATAAACGTATATATACAGACACACATAATGCTTCTATATATATGGTATATGAATCCTACATGTCATCCTGTTAGGTGGATGTCTAATCCATATCATCACAGAAGCTATGAATTCTACAAGTATTAAATCTATCGATTAATGGTCTAACTGATATGCTTTTATCATCCATCTCTCTGAAAGCACGTGGTTTATAATGTATTTTGGATCACAAACATTATAAACCAGGCTTTTCAGATCACAATTCTTCTAGAATACATTTGTTTTGTTAATATAAATATTCATCCACAAGGAACACAAGCACATGATTCTTAGTCGTTGAACCAGTTAAGGGAGAATCACAAATAAAAGCAATCGGTCAGGCACAACATGAGAGAGACAGAGAGGTGTTTACTAAATTGAATGAAGCTACAGCCTCATTTCTCTACTGTACCTCACCATGCTTGAACTTCATTTTTATCAGCATGTATCTAAAGAGATTAATCTCCATGACAGACAAGTTCTATCCTAACAAAAATCCAACCACACGTCTCTTTCACCTCCTTCTCATTGCTTTCTTATTCTCTGTAAAATCCCTCTCCTCCTCACTTTCTCACACATCAAACACTCGTTAAAGAAAGATACAAAAGCTCAAAAATGATGTTCATGAGACAGAGTATAAACCCTATTTCAAAGTGCACCCACGTTTGGTATGATCCCCATAACGTAGTTAGACCAACTCTGTGGAGTGAACCATAAAAAAAATTGCTCATAAATACAATCATTTATGAGCAATGTAGATTTCCAAAGAGTTATATTCCTGGAATGGATATTTGAAGAGTCCAACGTCCAAAAACCAAAATCTGTTCAAGGGTAGTGAAATTCGAAAACCCAACCAAAAAAAAAAACCCTCAAAACTAAGAAATGGGTTGCAAAAAACTTATAGTGCATAGAAAAGGGAAAACGCTTACCAGAAAGAGAAGAACCACCTTCTACCATAGAATCTTTTATTCTTTGTAGTTCAATTGACCACGAACCCAGCCGTGCAAATTATCAGATAATCACATAATGGTAAATTAGGTCTAACTTCTTTCCAATCAGCCCCAAAAACCTGAAATAAAGAACACCAATTGTGGGGATTAAATATAGAATACTGATAGGAACAAGCAAATCTTTTCCAAACTCGTAATTCTTAATTAAAAAAAAAGAATAAAAGTCAATAAAGAAATAGGGGGAATAAAAAAGACAGGGAATTGCTACCATTATAGGACTCAGCTCTAAAATTCGCATAATGGAGGAGCCAAGACAAGCTGAAGGAGGAGCTGATGGCAGAGCTAAAGCTGAGGGCTCAAGCTAAGGAGCTGTGAGGTTGCGCGGCTAGCTGCTCGCAGACCGTTGAGGCGAGAAGGCACGAGCCAAAGGAAAGGAGCTTGAGAGGCAAAAATGGACGCTGATGGATGGAGTGTTTTGGGACGCAACATTGGAAGGTAGAGATGAGATTGGGATAGAGTAACACCCACCCACTTAAGTGATTCTAATTAATTCAATTGTCTGTTTTCGAATAGGCAAGCCAAGTTCTAAATATTTGGTAACAGGATAACAAGTAAATTGTTCTATATTTAGTATTAGTGGTTACTCGTACAAACCGCACATTATTATTTATCATATCATTTGAGTTTTGCTTGAACCGAGAGAAGAAGGCGCACAAATGTTGGAGTAAACTAGTATATAAGAAATTTACGATTTCAACCTGCATATTAATGTTTTATTCTACTAAAGTCTTTAATATGAATTTAATCAATTCAAAACCTTTCAAACTTAAATTGTATCATAGAAGTGAAAAAAAGTTATGGTTACTCAAATACAAGACCTTGAATTTAACTATGTATAAATGTAGAAAACATTTTTTTTTGAAAAGTTATATCTTTAAACCTGTCAATACTCAAGTATGATGTAACAATATTTGATGTTAGATAATTGTATATAAAAAATAATATATTACAAGGATCCAAATAAAATAGCATATTGGAGGAAACTACGTTTAATTTGTGAAAGACAATAATCCCATGGAAAGAAAAGCCCTGGAGCGCCCTACCCATGTGGCATCACACATATAGTCAAATGATATCAAATATATTATATAAAATATCAATAAATTTGAAGGTCCACATCTAAATATATACCATTAAATTAGACCATCTAAATTAAATTAATACTATTCAAATTGATAATGAATATATTTATCAAAAATTTATAAATTTTATTTTTATAAAATATAAAATTGAAATGGAAATTGAAAAAATTTGAACCATCTAGATTAAAATTTAAATGGCCTAGATCTTCCTAGATGATGAGAACTATGGTGCTCAGTAGCTTAAGTAAATCAAATTTGAGAGTGATAGTTAAAAAAAATACTCATTCTGTTAAAAAATATAAAGTATTTTTAACTGAATTTTACACCTAATAAAGTAATTACCTACTTTTTAACTAATCCTATCTTTTTATATTTACCCTTATTAAACACTCTAAAATAAATATAAAATCATTATCAATAGGGGGTACTTTAAAAAAAATAATAATTATACCTCAAAAAATTAAAAAATATCTCATATTTTTAAACATTTAATTTTTTAAAAAATATCTTATATTTTAAACGGAGAGAGCATTAAATTTAAAAGTAAATTTGTAATTTTTTCTCTTGCAGTCAAGAAAAGATAACTCTTTTAGGATTTTTGTAATTATTTTTTAAAAACAAAATTCATGTCAAATCGGACGTGTCTGTTTGGATAGCATTTTTGGAATTTCAAATACGCTCTTAGCTCAAAACTCGAAGTAGGCCTTAGGAAACTTAAAAAAAAAAAAAAAAACATTTCAAATAGAAAAACAAACAGATCAGCTATACATTCGCTATAAGAAATCAACTAAATTTATATGCTTTGGAAGTAAAGTTTTCAGTGAAATGAGTTTAACATTTAGTTGAACCGGATCCGCCCATTAAAGTCTTCTCAGCAACTTTTGTTTCTTTTTGGTTTATGTTCCCAACTCTATTTCCATTCCATCTAGAGGCCGTAGTCGTCAAACATTCCACACATTTTGACCACCTACCACCATTCCATGCATTCCATATAAGCTCAATGAATCCCTCCTCCAAATCCCAAGCCGGTAAGCATTTAAAGAGAGTTTTCTTCTTCTTAGGCTCGGGCCCTCTTTTTAATTTCACTAAAAGTGGCCTACGACCTGAGCCGAACCTGCTTAAGCGAACGACTTTTGCTTCTGGGAAAGAGGTATTCCAAAAATCGTGACAAAATACCCAATCAATTCGCTCCTTAATAAGCTTCTTCTAACAAGTGATCCACACAAAATCAATTGCGATAAGGTTAGATGTTTCCACACAGTATCTGAAATCTTTCATTGCGGCAGCATTAGGCATTGCTCTTTTGCTCCCCTATACTGTGAATCATGTGCAGCATCAATGGTAAAGTAAATGGAGAATAGGCTCATCATATCCATTCATTTTATTTAATGATTGAGAAGAAAGGAATACATAAAAAACTTTCTTACATGCAAGAAATACATAGAAAGCTACATGTAAGACATGGGGTCCGTCTTCGGTAGTGCTCATCCATCAAATAAAATCTGGGCCATCAAGATTTAATTTGGATGGCCCAGATTTTGTTAATTTTAAATTTAAATTTATACTTATTAAAATAAAAATATATAATTTTTTTATAAATAGGTTAATCATCAATCTAGATAATACTGATTTAATTTAGGTGGTTTAATTTAATATTATAACTTTTTAAATTGACTATCTATATGTACTCAGAACAGTCCATATTCAATATCTGCAAAGTCCAAATTTAAAGTTTTTATTTTTTTATTTTGATGAGTACAATATTAAAAAATAAAATATATAATATTTTAATTATAACTTTTTAAAAAAATTATAAGTTAAAAATTTTAAATCTGGACTATATAAAATATATCTAAATAGTCAATATATAAAAATATAAAAATTTTAATATTAAATTAGACTCTTCAAATTAAATATAGATTAGATTAGTCAAAAAATATTTATTAAAACTTTTTATAATTTTTATAATTTTTATTTTTAAAAAATATAAAATAAAAATTTTAAATTATTTCTTTAAATCTGGATCATTCAGATTAAAAATTTAGATATTTCAGATTATATCAATGAGCACCAATCGCTTTCTTGCATGTCTTATGGATCCATCTTGGCCATCTTGGGTGGGTGCTCTTATATTGGCCGATGAAAAAACGCTACATATAAGACATGCAAAAAGCTACTTGTCGCTTTTTTTGCATATTCAAAATGTCAATGTCTCACTTAGAAAAAAACCGCATAAAACAAAAAAAGCGACACTGCATATACAAAATGCATTTTTTTCTATGTAGCTTTCTATGTATTTCTTACATATTTTAACTCTCCGACACTGCATATTTTATGTCTATGTAGCTTTCTATGTATTTCTTACATAAACACTCAAACTTTTTCCAGAATAAAAAATTACTTTACAATTTGAATTTTAAAAAATTGTTAAAAAATTTAATTTATTATATTTTAAATATTCTGAAAAAATCGTTCCTATTCTTCCTTCTCTTAGTAGCCGGCGTCTGAGTAAGCTTCAGCATTGTGGCACTCATCTCATCTCATATTTTTCATGTCCGATTTGATAATTATTTTATGATTGAAAAGCTATATTTATGGTGATGGTTAATTAAAAAATATCTTCTCTTCCATATTTTTTTAATTCTTTTCATCTTCCTTATCTTTTATTTGCTCCGTTGTTTTTTCCCCTCTCTCGAGTGATATTGTGAACCGATTGGCTCATTAGACCGGTTACCAGATCGTTGATCAGCCAGACCGGTTCCGGTCCGACGGGCCTAAACCATATATAAACCCCACCGCACCCTGAGAGGCTGAGAACAAACTACTCTCACTTTCTCAGAAACTGAGAGACTGTAACAGCCAGGAGGGAGATTCGAAGCACACAAGGTAAATTTTTCATTTTGCCTTGCTCTGTTTGGATTCGATCTTGTCTTTCTCATTATCTGCTTCAAATCTTAGTTACATATGCATGTATCTTAGTTTCCTCGTATGAACTTCTGTACTTGTCAGTGCTCCTGAGCATGGCTTTTGCTATTCAATATTATTCTCGCGCTTCTGGAGAAAATTACCTCAATTTTTTTTGAGATTCTCATGATTGGTTTTTTCTTTGTTCTTGGGGAAACGTGTGTAGATGCTGGTGATACAGCACATAACGGAGGTGCAATGGAGCCTCGTGCATATGCCGGGGATCGGAGACATGGCGATGATCACCAGGATTCAGACTCAGACGGTGACGCACATGTATGGCCACCCCAATCCTCCTCCACCGCCAGTCCCCCAGCCGGTCCCACAACTATACAGCCACACCACCGCCACCGCAGCCACCATCACCATCACCACAACCACGACCACTGGCTTCTCCACCGGAGGAGCGATCAATACTATGTAGTTATCAGTATTCACGTCTCAGGATTAATATGTTCATGTTTACAGTTCAGTCATGTAATGCATAAGTGACATGCGGGCTTTACTGCGGGCTTTACTCAACAGTCTATATGCTTAATCATGTTTTGGTCCTTCTGTCTTAACATTGTTGTTAGTTATGAAGATGAGATTTGCAATACATAGTTGTTTTTAGTCTATAAACTTAGAATCAAAACTGAATGTTGACAGTAAAATCTAACTCCAAAGTATAAGACGCTGAATCAGTCACTGTTCCGGTTCCCGTAGTCACCCCCGGTCTCGGTCTCTACTCTCTCCGTCCCTTGCACAGTCGCATTCTCGGTCTCTCGCGCATGGAGTCACTGTAGTCGGGTCAGTCGGTCACGGCAAGGCTCAGGCTCGCCACACCAGTCACCCTCACGGCCTCACCCCTCAACCTCAACCTTCTTCTTCGAGTTCGAGTACTCTCTCTCAGTCTCTACTCTCTCGCACTCTCGCTCACGGTCACGGACTCACGGCTCACCAGCGGCAGTCACCCTCACCCCTCGGCCTTCTTCTTCTTCTTCGACTTCGAGTCTCTCTGGCACTCTCGTTCGCCCGTTCTCAGTCTCTCTCAGAATGAAAGAGTTCTTGTACTACAATCTAACGTATGTCAATGCAGGGGCGGAACGAACTTCAAAAGTTGTGGGGGCCAATTTTTCAAAAAGAGAAAAAAGAAAAAAACAATTATATGTATAATTGTTAAAAAAAAAATTGGCCTATAATTGTTAAAAAAAAAAAAAAAAACTTCCCCACAACTTTTAAAGTCCGTTCCGCTCCTGTATCTATATGCGTACGTGTGTCTATGCATAAATATATCCGAATAGAAGAATTCTTCCAATCTGAGCTCTAGATCACACTCAGATTCTACGATAACAGTTTCAAATTGAAACCAGTCACTCTGTGCTATTGTTCCAGTCTCTGCAGTCTGCACACAACACCTACAATTATTGTCGTTTG